GTTATTGCATACATTTTCACTGGCTAGTAGGTTATGGTTAGTTCAGGCATTCCGGAAATAAAGATTTTGGTGATGGATTTGGAAGGAGAACTTACTTTTTTCAAATTCATCACCTTTTTGAGAACTGGACTCGCATCATGAACAGCAACAGACTGCATCTCTCTTCGTGGTAAAGTTGGACCGTCACACTTCCTCACTGACCGTTGCCAAAGAGGAGCAAAAGGACAGTCTCTCCTTCCCCCTAGATTCATCACTCAAACCAGCTCTCTGCCCTCTTTCTTCCGTTATCACTGCTTCAGATACGGCTTCCTTAATAACCGAATCTCCAGATAGTCAGCCGACTTCAGGTTACCAAAGGTCTGCAGTCATTACAGAGCTACAAGCTACCTTCACTCCAGAAATGGCCTACATCACTTACATCCCTCTTTGTCGTCTTGCAGGTTAGCTACCTGTGCTTAAGATGCAGGAGAATGATTGCCCGTTTTGAGAATTTTTATAGCTTAATTTCATTTTTTCTATGTAGTCTGCAATAGTTATATTTTTATTCTTCGGTTAATTCGTAGCGGTGGAACTCAAATGTGGTCGTATAGGGAATAATTTCTCTGCTTTTCTTTCATCACTAACCCCCAATGCTGGTTTTGAGTCTCCTTTTAAACTCTACGTAGGCGGTAGTCACATCGAATCTAGTCTCTACAACATCAATCACATTCACAGCCTTGTGAGGCAACATGAGGCATCTTTGCATGGAAGTGACAATGGTACTACTGGTCCAACTGGTCGCGTCAAAGTCACTATCAATACGGAGTATGAGGCCAAGTTGGTGAGCGACTAAAATTATCTCGTAACTTTTGCTTCAAATTCTTGTAATTATCACTCGGGTCGCTTTTCCACCTTTCAGGTGGCCAGTTCTTCCGTGAGCAAGTCAGCAGTCACGCACCTCCATGGTGAATGGGTGGAGTACTTCCGAGCCAAGGTTGAAACCTGCCCTTCGCTGCCAGTGTCGCCTTTGGTGTGCGGACCCCCTCGGCTCCTGAAATTTATTGGAAAGCATTTGGTCACATTTTCAGGCGCGTTGCTTTTCTTACCCGTTGCAATGCGAACTACGTTCGATAAGTGCTAACAGTAAATTACACTTAGTGAATCCGTGATCTTAGTCCGGTTCCTAAAGAAGTAAACTGATGACGACCTTTTATCTGTTGTATTTTGTGGATATTTTTGTGTGAAATTAACGGTGGCTATCAGGAGACAACGTCTTACTTTTTACTTATTTGCACTGTTTCATAGGCCTTATGTTATACTCTAAAGCATTTCTACCAATATCCTTGGCAGTTGACAGCACAGAAGCGCTGCATATTTACATCGGCGGGCAGACTGAAGATTTTTGTAATTAGTGGCCTCAGTTGCAGCTGACTAGCATTTGCAAGCAGCCCTGACTGGTAAACGAAGAGATTCCGTTATATTTTCCTCATTTTTTTAAGATAAACACGTGAGTTCATTCGAATTTTTCCAAATCGCGTTCCTCATCCCTCTTTACCACGTTTCTAGCATTAATGTCACTCGAAACTGGTGATATAAAGGACTATTAGCCTTCACGTGGATTTTGGAGTTTGAAGAAGATATGGTTAAGGAAAGATAACTCATGGAAGTTTTTGTACTCGGATTCTGCACAACAGCAGGTTTTTCTGCATATCGTGCATGATATTAAATCTAACGATCTGTTCGAATAAAATGAGTTATTTTTTCTAGTAACTCTTCATTTCTCTACTTTTGACCTTTTCGGAGGGAACAAGAAGAGCCACGTGATGTGCAATTGATAGGCGTTAGTAGCACCGTCTGGTCCGCGGTGAGTGAAAACGATGTAGCCTCTCAAATGTGAGCATGTAAGGTATAACCTTTTTTGGTATTAATATGTTGTGTTTATTTGAGGTGTATGCGTATGTGTAAAGTAAAGTAAAGTAAAGTCCTTGCCCCCACGAGTTGCATTGTGAAAATGACGTGCATGCACGCAGACAGTGCAGGACGCACTTCTATTTGTGGTCTTACCGAACTTCTCCACATCGGGCACTCTTTGTGAGGCGGAATAGGACTCTGTTGTGCATTCGCCTCCCATCCAGTGTCAACATTGAATGCATGCTTGTCTTGTGAAAGCCATGAATCGAACCTGTTTATGTTCCAAGGTATGGGTGTTGGTGGGACAATCGAAGTCGATGCCATTGTGTGTGCTACCACCACTACCAAGTGCAGCTGAAGTAAGAGTGGTGATTTAAGCTGTGATGGATCTAGGATGGTGTCGACCTCTTCACTGACTTGCATTGACCATGTAGGTAGGTGCGCGAACCGATAACGTTCTTCATATCGGATGACGCAGAACTCGTGAGCATATGAAAGACCATGTTCGTACGCATGTGATGCTGAGATGGTTAGAGTCGTTTGGATCCATGATTTTGGCGTTTCTGTGCCCTTTTTTATGGTCTGAAGGCGAAGAATGCTGGTACTAGGTTTCTACCCGAGTTGATAATATGAAAGCGCCAAATGAAGCACTATCTAGACGTTTGGTAACCGTTATGAAAAGGAGATCGATCGGAACATTGTGAAGACCGGAATTGATACGTTTTTCTGGGGTCGTCAATATTTTCAGTAATCTGTCGCTCGTAGGCTTCTATTAAACCTGGTCAGTTTTTAAACCACGTTTGTATATCTTGATCTCTCTTATCCGTCCTTGCTGTCATTTCTAGATTTCGTCTGCAGAATTCCCGACTGTTTGACATGCAGTCCATTTTGGGGTTTCCATTGTGCAATTTTTTAATAGATGTTAGCATTTTTAGTCACTCTACTGTACTATAGCCAAATGGCCAGGCTTCATTACCCAGTAATGTGTAAATCAGCAAAGGGCACTGTACTCACGTGCTGCGCTTTTTGTTAGTGCGTTGACTTTTCTTATTTCTTTTACAAAATCCGGCCTTTTTGTTTTATTGGGATGTCCCAGGTAATTAGTAAGAAGCATATCACCACTGTGTCAAGTCATTTCACTTATTCTAATGTAACATAAGTGTGTAAATCCTGCCGTTAGTTGGGGAACCAAACTTGTATTGTTTTGTAAAGCTGCACAACTTTTGTACCAGGTCACAACGGAGCAGTGCGGAGCATAACGCCATTGGTGAACGAAAACAGTTTCGTCACTACAAGCAATGATCACAATGTGCTTCTTTACTCTCTAACATCGGCGCGAGAATCGGCTGCAGTCGCGTTGGTTGCATCCTATGCTTCACGCCGCACTGTCTCCGATAGCGGCGCGTTCTCGGATCGGCTTCTGGGGGTTCAGTCCCCGCCATCAGTGGTAGCATCGCCGGCGACGCAACTAACACCGGTTGCTCCAAGTCTCGTTTTCACCGGTCACCGACGTGCCGTTTTCGCCTCAGCTTACCTCCACTTTGAGCGCCTTGTCGCATCTCTCGACCCTTCACTTCTACTCCTTTGGGATCCGGTTACCGGACAAAAGGTTTTTTTCGTTATTGGTTAAGCAATAAACTTTGTTTTTAACATTTCTGGAGAATGAAATGTCGAAATGGGATGGGGAACTGTAAATTAACTTCAATTATATGGGCTAGTGGTACGGCAGCTCACCAGTACTCCTACGTAGCAATATGTTCTCATACATTTGGCACTGATACGGAGTTAATGCGCAACGTTGTAGCAACACTAGATAATACTTTGCGTAATCGACCTCATTTTCGCTTTTGGATATGATTTCTTGTTCCAGGTCTCTGCGTTTGCACCTTCGGACGGTTGGTCA